GAGAGAGAGAGAGAGAGAGAGAGAGAGAGTTTGATAGGCATGTATCATCCTGTAGGAAGGTTCGACCAACCAAAGTACCGAGACGGTTTCAAGTTGGGATATTCGCGACCGAATGTTCTTTTCATTTTTAGTATCATTGGCAGCAAATTAATAGCCGACCCTTAAAGGTCGTGATTGTAAGAGCGATGCGTTGTGCACGCAAACGATTCTAAGTCGATGAAGTGCACTTGGTGAACGAATACGCGCGAGATGCCCGCGGCGTCGTTATTCTCAACCATGCAACGCTAAATGCAGCTGTCCGAGCCTCGTGCCTTGTTAACCTCGAACTTTCCATCATCTCCGTTTCCATCGAATAAAATCATATTTAGCGTAAATCCGCGTAAATATTAAATAGAAATGGCATTATTAGCCTTGAGCGGCTGATGTAAAGTGACAGATGTCTTGTTTAATATTTTTTTTTAGCTTTTCTTTACTCCTTATCGAATTTCATAGTAGGTATCGTAAAGTATATTTTGCATATATGGAAAGCAAAAAATTATTATATCTCTAATAATTATTTTGATCTCAACAAAAATTATTTTTAATCGTAAAAAATAATTATGCTACCGCGAGCGCATGCAAAGTCCTATATTTGTTTATGAATTGTCCTAATAACATAGATTCATTGCTTCGATCTATGTATAAGAGATTTAAATAGTTTGTGGATCATAAAAACCGAAAATGACATAGCAAAGATCGTTCGTGGCCTTGAGACAGAATATGACAGAATAAAATCGGAATTTTCTTTTACATTGCACTTGTCTCGTAATGAAGATCGTGTCGAACATCTGTTATAATAAGCACGATATATCACACGTTGTACGAAGATCACCCCCTCGTGATTTATTACACATTATACCTGAGCATTATCGGACTGCGCATCGCGCGGCTTCAGCGCGGCGCCTCACATGACGTCCATCAAGAAGCGATAATTAAAAAGAAGAGGGTTTAAATCGCCTGGACGTGCACGAGATCGGCCATCTGCTCCGCGCGATTAGAATAAGAATGGCGTAAGTCATGCTTACTATGAAATTTTGCTATCGAAGCGTGAAGGAATTGAGTGAAAGATCGTATTCGTAACTTTGCATCCACTTAATTTCTAGCAATTGAAAAATGAGAGTGAAGCAAGTTTTTGGAAAAATTGTCGAGCAAAATTCTTTTGTTACAATTTCTCATAAATTCTT